TGTGTGTGTGTGTGTGTGTGTGTGTGTGTGTGTGTGTGTGTGTGTGTGTGTGTGTGTGTACCTGATGTCCATGCAGCGTATACAATAGTTTACCCTCCACAAGGTCCATTATTTTCACTGTAGAATCGCTGGATGCAGTAATTAGAAAACTTCCAGAAGGATGGAAAGACAAACCGTTTACAACACCGCAGTGGACTAAAAAAACACACAGAAAACAGGGAATTAATTATCTCTTTCAGAATGACTCTACTTTAATGACATGGTTAGTTTGCCTGTTAAATGATAAACATTAAGATTACAATAACAATTTTGAAATTCTAAATCTTTCCAAGCCTTCAGTTTTTACCAAACACCTTTTTATTTGGCTTAACCAACATTTTTTTTTGTTCATGTCCTCTCGCATTTCTCTTCCCATCATCGTCCACAAACCGTTCCTCATTTTAATAACTTGCTAAAAAGGTTCAGGCTAAGTAGAGGGAAATGTCAATAAACAATCAGATTTTTTTTAGATTACATCTTTGACCCTTCAGTCGAGCAGATGCTTCTGACGTTCATTACAGAGACACAGCAACTGTTCTAGCTGCTTACGAGAATGTCTTCATAGTTTATACTGCAACCAACTGTTACAAGTAGAGTAGTCTTTAGCAACTAATCTAAGCTTCCTCCAACTATCATACCCTGAATCACCTGTGAACAAAATGAGAACAGACGTAATGTAACAGCACTAGGTCCCTCTGCTGGCTTAAATGTGCTACAACACACCTGTACCTGATGCTGGTAAAAAAAAAAAGATGTTGTATAAATGCAAATGTACTGGAAAAAATCAAAAATGGATTTTTATCAATGACCTAGGTTCGTTTAAGTGCAAAAGGCATGATTAGCAACTCAAAGAGGCAAGAAAAACGCAAACAAGAGGGCCATTCTGCCTTCACACTACCCCTTAAAAACAAAACAGGTTTTTCCCAATGTAGCACCTTTCATTAAACAAGATGCATGCTAACGTAGATAAATGCAACAATTATCATGCACATCCAATAGTAACTGCACAATATTTTAACAATTCGTCAATCCAAGCAGACTAAACTGGTATATACGGTGAGTAATGTGAAGCAGAGTGGTGGGAAAAGAGGAGGCGGAGGTGCTTTTATCTTCACTCTCAGGCAGATGTGATTATTCATTATTAGATCTCACAACTGAAATCCATTTAGGAAAAATGATTCGAACAATCAGCCAGAGTGGCAGACTGACAAAACAGCATTTACATTCTGTGTATTAATTTTGTGAAAACATTTATCTTGATTGCTGCTCTAATTAGGAGACTTAAATCTTAACTGAAGGTTATTTCGAGTTAATTTTATTATGAACCTAAGCCACAAAGAAAGATGAATATTTTCTTGTGTGTATTGCTTGCCTAAGTATAAATTTATACTGGCATAATAATCACAAGGTGTTAAAAGTAGATAAAATGACAGGGCAAATGTTATTTTATGAACATTATAGGTTATGTTTAATTAATGCAAATACTGGTTGATGCATTAAAACAGTGACTTGGGTGCTTTTTACCAGGGTAGTGTTGAAGCATCCTGTGAGTTCTGATGTCCCACACCTTCACAGAGTGGTCAGTACTAGCTGCTGCAATACAAGTCCCACTGGGATGGAAGTCCACATAGTTTGCAAAACTGGGAAACAATGATAAAAAACATGGTGAGGCAGTTTTATCAACTCATGTAGTAGAAGCATCTGAACACACTAGTTTACTCAGTGCAATCAAATATCAAACCCACACTTTAAATACTCTTCAAAAATCAGTTACTATTAAAAATATTTAGGTTTTCAGATCAAATCTTTTAACAAATTGTTATACTGAAAGATTAAAGGGAGTGAACTACAAATACTTTAGGCACTGTAGTTACATACAATTACTCATACTACAAAACTACAAGTCCCTCTGGGACCTCGGGGACTCCTTTGGGGCRGTACTCTGGGAGTATGGGGTACCAGGCCCATTGATCCGGGCTGTTAGGTCCCTTTATGAACGATGCCAGAGCTTGGTCCGCATTGCCGGTAGTGAGTCTGACTTGTTTCCGGAAAGCAGATGATGTGGTCCTGTTGGCTTCATCAGATCGTGATCTCCAGCTCTCACTGGAGCGGTTTGTAGCCGAGTGTGAAGCGGCCAAGATGAGGATCAGTGCCTCCAAATCTGAGACTATGGTCTTGAGCCGAAAACCAGTAGGGTGCCTTCACCGGGTCGGGGAGGAGGTCCTGCCCCAAGTGGAGGAGTTTAAGTATCTCAGGGTCTTGTTCATGAATGAGGGAAGATTAGAGCGGGAGATCAACAGGCGGATTGGTGCTGCCTCTACAGTGATGGGGGCGTTGTACCGGTCTGTCATGGTGAATCGAGAGCTGAGCCAGAAGGCCAAGCTCTCGGTTTACCAGTCGGTCTGCGTTCCTACCCTCATCTATGGTCACGAGCTTTGGTAGCGACCTAAAGAACAAGATCGCGGATACAAGCGGCCAAAATGAGTTTCCTCTGCAGGGTGTCTGGRCTCTCCCTTRGAGATAGGGTGAGAAGCTCAGTCATCCGGATAGGACTCAGAGTAGAGCCGCTGCTCCTCCACGTCGAGAGGAGCCAATTGAGGTGGCTCGGTCATCTGGTTAGGATGCCTCCTGGACGCCTCACTGGTGAGGTGTTCCTGGCACGTCCCACTGGGAGGAGGCCCAGAGGAAGACCCAGGACACGCGGGAGGGACTATGTTTCTCAGCTGTCCTGGGAACACCTTGGGATTCCCTAGGATGAGCTGACCCAAGTGGCTGGGGAGAGGGAAGTCTGGGTCTCTCCGCTTAGGCTGCTGCCCCCGCGACCCGACCCCGAACAAGCAGAAGAAAACGGACAAACGGACAAAACTGTTTTTAAAAACCGACTACATTCTGTTCCTTCTGCACTCAATATCTGTTCTATGCATCACCATTCTGGGCCTATGTRCTCACCCAGCATGTTCAAAGAAAGMGTGAATGCACTCTCTGCTGTTCTTGTCCCAAAGCTTTATGGTCTTATCATCGCTGCACGACACAATCAAACGATCATCCGGAGAAAATCTGGAAAACATTAAAAATACACAAAACATTTTTAAAACAATAGTTGGGTGGTAAATACAGAGAAAGGATGAGAAAATGTAACTTTAAAAAAGCATAATAGGTCACATGCCAGCTGAAATACAGAACTGATGTACTTGATGAATTGAATTTGAATGAAAGTGGTAGAAAACGTACCACACTGTACAGTAATAAATATAGATTAATGTGTGTTTTTCATACTTGGCACAGCGGACCCAGTTCATGTGCTGGTTGAGCGAGAAGAGAAACTTCTGTCGGTGGACTGTCCACACTTTGATGGTTTTGTCATCAGATGCGGTGACCAGAGTCTGTCCATCACCAGAGAAATTGACACAGCGCACAGTGGCAGTGTGAGCCCTGAACACCGTTGAATCAGCCTTCCTATAAACACACACAAGACATTATCAATGTGTAAAGCAAACAAACCTACACTGAGTATTCAAGGTGCCTTCTGCTAAGCTGGTAGGAGGAAACGAGCAGTAATTAGCAGATCTTGTTTGTAGACGACAAAATAGTCTTCTGTGGTAATTTCAGGGTGAATGAGGTTACAGAATACAGATAATGAAGCTACATATGGACGTACATGCTGGGCACCCAAAGGCGCACAGTTTTGTCTCTGGAGGCAGAGGCCAGCAGGTGGCCAGATGGAGAAAACTGAACCGAAGTTACAGCTTCTTTGTGTCCATCAAAGCGATAGGCCCTCATCTGAGGCTTCAAGTTCCAGATCATCACACAAGAGTCCATCGAGCCTGTGGCTGGAAGAGTAGGAGGCACAGTGGAGGTAAGAAGCTGTTTATGGCCACAGTAAACACACACACAAAAAAATGAAAAACAGAAAAATTATTACATAAAGTATTTGGGGATGTTTACCAATCTGTTTCATGTTGCAGCTGAAGTCCACACTTGTCACAGTGTCTCTATGACCCTTGAAATGTCTCTCTAGGGTTGGATCAGACTATGTGGACACAAACATAGACTCAGTGACAAAATGTACCAAAAGAATTAAAGGAAATATTTACATTTTTACTGAAAGGAAATCAGATGCACGTCAACATTGTGAGGATTTGTTGCTATACTATCCCTTATCTCTCATAAAATCTGAGAAAATGTCCATGCACTTGATTATATAACTAGTTAAATGATTAAATTATTCCAAAAATCAGTTTAGTTGTATTTACTGCAGGGTAAATGTATGATTTACCTCTTTGATGCAGTAAAAAAATGTCAAGTAAAGAACAAATACTTATTAGGAAAGTCCTCTGTATAAATGATTTTGTATTGTGTGCAGTGTTTCCAAAAGTTGGGATCGGGACCCAAAGTGGGGTCCCGAAACATCAAGGTGGGGTCCTGAAAAGATTTTATGAATTAATTACATTTTTGTCTTGGTTGTTACAAATGAGTGAGGTTAGTTTATTTAAAATGGATAAATGTTGTATAAAAATATTGTTACTATGCCCATGCTTTGTTGACCTGATACAAAGGTTTATCATCCAAAAATAGTTGGGGTCACAGGTCTCTGCTACTGTTATTTTGTGGGTCAAAAGCTGAAAAGTTTGGGAACCACTGC